TGGGTGACTTGTTGGTTATGTTTTTTTTTTTTTTTTTTTTTTTTTTTTTTTTTTTTTTCCCCTCTCCCCTCTTAGTAAGCTGGCAGCTTCTTTCCAGAGCATGGAGGTCAGGAACTCTAACTTTGCTGCTTTCATCGACATCTTTACATCAAATACATACGTGATGGTGGTTATGTCGGACCCTTCAATACGTAAGTTGAAGCAAAGATAAGCCTTGGGCCTCTTTCTCTTTGCAGGGACAAAAAGCCGAAACTCTGGTTTTTCTTGGAAAATTACAAACACCAGGCAAAGACAGTGGAACTGATTGTAATTAGAAGAGAGGGAGGGATCTGCTGGTTTGCCCCGGCAGAGCAGAGGGTGGGGGAAGGTGGTTAAAAAGTTGTCTGACTTCACAGCAGGCAAGAGCTGCGTGCCTTGGCCAGCCGAACTATTTGTTGCTGCCGAGCGGAGGATCGTAGCGGTGGTGGGGAACCACTATAACAGATGTGACCTCGTTTAGCAGGTCGTCTCTAATAACCTATTTTGGGCTGTTCTGATCTGGCAGCCCCAGTGATTTTTTTGGAGAGGAAGCAGAGATGGATCACATTGGAGTTGGTTTTTTTTTTTTTTTTCGCTCTCGCTGCCTGAACCGTCTTGGTGGGCAAGGACTCTAATTATAGCAGCATCTGTTTATCTTAAAGAAGAAGCTGCAGCCAGCAGTGCCAGCCCTTACAGGCACAGTGTGGCTGTTTCACTGCACAACTCTGGTCGAAATGGCTCCTGTTAGGACTTGAGGCGCTTAAGAGACGCTGTCCAGGACAGCCTCGTGGCTCACAGTGGTGACGCTTCCTGTCCTCCTCTTCCTCCTCCTCGTATAGTTTACTGACTTAGGCAAAACCTGTGTAAACCCTGTCATGGAATTACCAGCTGCGGTGGTCTTGTGTGTGAGGAGCAGCAAGTGAGCGGCTGCGGCGACTTGTGCAGCTATCCCTGCTTGGCTGTGATTTGCTCCGACTCTTCCTCGGTGTTGCGCTGGGATCGGCAAACAGCCCGGACCTCCCGGCGTTCGGTTGCAGGCAGCCAGGGAGCGGTGGGGTTTGCAATAAGAGCGCTTGCTGATTTCAGCAGCGCTTAACTTCTGGCGACTTGGTTACTCGCATCCCTTTTAACTCTTTTTTTTTTTTTTTTTTTTTTTCCCTGCCTTTTCCGTCCTAGCTTCTGCGGCTACGCTGATCAACATCCGCAATGCCAGAAAACACTTTGAGAAGCTGGAGAGAGTGGATGGACCAAAGCACAGCCTGCTCATGCGCTGAACGTTGGCCAAGGCACATGGTCTTTGGGGGGAGAAAAAATGAATTGGAACTACTTATTTTTAGGAGAATCTAACAATGTCGATGTCTTTGTTGGGCTTTGAAATGAGTGTGCTGCTTTATTTTTTCTCCTTTTAACGTTGGACACTAGTCGCTCGGAGGATGTCTTGGATACACTGCGGACCTTCAGAAGAGACTTCCCTGGCGTATGTGGGGTTGGGAAGAAGCGAGGACGGGTGATGCACGCATGGTCTCCTACTCCTGGTTGTCGTGGTGGCACGTGGCAGAGCCGTTTGGGATGTTTTGCTCCCGGGTGATCGTATAAGTCACAGGAATGGAATATTTACTGTTTTATTGGTTGGTCGCTAGAATACGTTTATAAATTTCTCCTTGTCTTCAGTCATGAAAATAAATTTTTTGCTACCAGGGATTTCGGATCCTAGAGCTTTGGAAAGCGGGTTTTCTTCCTTCTAAAACCTTGGGCACCTTTGGCAAGCGGATGTGCGACAGCTGCCTTTCTCCCTTCACATTACGGGGGCGGGCATTGAGTGAAGGCCATGCCAGAGTTTCATTTTGGATAATCTATTTTTTTTTTTTTTTTAAATCTTCCTCACCACGCAGAGGCAAAATTCACTCAGCCGGTGAAGCAGTCGGGCCGGCGTTGGCCTCTTCGCACTTGCCAAAGCGACGGAAAGACCACGGTAGATAAAAAAAGGGGCCAAAGACCCTGATTGCTGAAGCATGGAGGTAGTCCTGGCGTGCCTGGGCGCCCTCCTGGTGAGCCAGGAGGGGCTGGCGCGGGCACGGAGGGGCTCTGGAACGGGCTCCGTGCGGGCGGTGTGTGCACGAGCTGTGTTAGTGACGGTGGCCACGAGCCGCTTGGGCGCTGTTGGGCACCCACGTTTCTTGACGTTGCTGTCTATTTTGTAATGGATATTTTTTTTTTTTGTGTGCATTTCCATTAAACCTAGGAACAACAAAAAGCACCGTGAGTTGGGGGAATCTCTGGCTTGCTGGGTGGGGGCTGATGCTTGTCAGCACCTCTTATTATTTTTTTTTTTATTCCCTATTGCTGCATCAAATTACTGTATAAAAAAAAGGGTGTGGTGACTCTGAGCCTGGCTCTCCCCTTTGTATTCTCCAAATTGCGCTTTCTCCCTGTAACCCTGCCCACACAGGCACTGGGAGGGTGGGACAAATCCGACGGGGCGCATCTGTCGGGTGGGAACGGGGAGCTGGAGGCCTGAGGACGAGCTGTGCACAAAATCTCCCATCGATTCTCGATCTTCACGGTATTAAACGCCCGCGTCCTGCGCCGCCTACTCAGCAGATGCGTCGGCGCGCTGTCGGGCTGGGTGTGCGTTCGATGAGAATAATGGAGTCGGCATCCCCGGGGGAGAGGAACTTACTGAGATTCCAACTAACATCTCAGGTGCCCGAGCTTCTCGAGAACTTTGTGATGCTGGAGATACAGCGGAGCGTTTCCGTTTGTCTTCCGCGGTTGTGGAATACGGTGCCGGTCCTGGAGCGGGAGCAGCAAACCTCGCCCACGGTGGCTTTTGCCTGATGTTGGGGTGCAGCAAGGCCAAAACGCGATGGCAGTTTCCTCTTCTGCTTGGACAGGGTCAGTCCTTGCTTTTCCCTCTGGTCCGTGGAGAAACTTCCCAGCTTTCTGCGCCCAAATTCGGCACTGTTCAGCAGAGGAAGAGGATGAGTGGCGGCCGATCCGCCTGTTCTTGGAGCCTCGGGAACATCACCTCTGAGGAATTACCAGGAAGGGCTCCGCTTGCAGGAGATGGGCAGCCGTCGCTGCTTCAGGAGAGCAGAAGATGGCTTACGGCCACCGACCTAGCGCAGGTTGAAGCACCTTCTGCTGAGAGCGCGTTTTCCTAGCTGCTCCTGCTGGAGAAGACAGGACAGTGGGAAAAGCTGCCTTATTCCCAGGGTTACAAGGTGTTGCCCTCCCACTTCGAAGCCCTAAACCGGACATGGGGTCCAGCTGTGGTCTCCAGAGCTCTGAAGAGAGGGGAACGGTCACCTCCTCCATCACCAGTGACCGCTGGAGCTTCCCAACGCCCGCTGCCACCCTTGGAATCCAATAGCTCCTTTGGTTTCCCACCGTCCCACCTGGTTTTTATGGTTTTTTTTTTTCCCATACCCTTCTCCAGAAGAACATCCTGATGTTTGGGGTTGCGTGTCAGGACCAAAGCAGGGACGTGGTGGAGCAGTGGGCCTGGCCCATCTCCCTCCAACCTCAAAGTCTGTAAACGACTGAAGCGAGGGCCTGGTCTCACCTGGCTACTGGTGGCCCTCTTCTTGGGCTTCCTTGCCCTTTCTTCTCACTTCTCCTTCCTCACCACCCGCCCTCCTCCTCCTCCTCGCGGGTGGGGCCACCGAGTCAAGGCTCCACCACCGGCTCAGCCACCCAGGGCCCTCTCCCTCGGCCCGGCCCTGGGTTCAGTCTTGCGTGGAGCCGAGGGGCCGGGGGTCCTGGGCCTTCCTGCGGAAGCCTGAGGGACCGCTCGGAGC